AATGTCAACATTGGCTACCAGAAATCACTTACCCCACCTTTAAATGAACGACTACTAGTTAACTAAAAAAATCTTTAGTGGGGGGGGGCAGACCTAATAAATACCCACTAGAAGTCTGTGTTAAAGTTTTTTTTTTTTAAGCATTTTATATGTGTTTCCATAGTCTGTTAAATTCCGCTTTCAGCACTGTCACATCCAATGGAGAACTGTAACATCCGCATCGATTTTTCCTCTGAAACACAAAAACGAAAACTTAAACAAAATGGATTATTTTGGGTTTTGTAAATAGCCAACACTTCTCCATTTGGAAAATAGTGTTGCTTCTGGTTTGTGCATTGTAAATTACACAACATCTACAAAATATGTTGTCTCCCAAAAACTCTTGTCTTTTTTGTCACGTCCGTAAGGCATGTGTGTTTCCCTCATCTAAAATATAAAACCGGTTTATAGACTGATATTTTCTGATGTCTGGACTCTATTTTCAGGGGTTTAGAAAAATATAGAGATGGTTCAATATATTGGTAATGAATACATTTTATAAGAATTTATATTCCAGGTTTTGACTGCGAATGTCCGTTACGCTGGAATTGCCCATATTTTTGATTTTCAGCTGAACATTTTAGTACCCCTTTATTATACTTTTTTATATTACAAAATAGTATTTCATTATATAATGTCTTAGTTGAATAATGAGAGAACTTGTGAGTTTAAACTTAAAGACGTTTTATTAATTTGCCTAGTATTTATAGTTTCATTGTTTTGGCTAAATCGTGGCCATGTTTTATTTATTCATTTCTTGTTTAATAATGGGAAAGAAATAATACAATGTGCTCACATTTTCACTAAAATTAAGGAAGGAATTAATTTTTTTTAAAAGTTCAATGCTTTCTTAATTCGGTCATGTCAAAAACCTGTCCAGCACTGGCACATTCAGCTTTATCCTGCAGTACAGGGAGGGGTCTGGGTCTGATTTAGTTCAAAATATGTTCACCATGTACATATGTAATAATAATAATAAGAGAATACGCTACATAAAATTGCATTTTGGTCAGATACAAGTCAATGTAATAACTATATATATTGTATTTTTTTTTTCATATGTATCATTACATTACTCAAGTAAGTTGAAAACTAATTTCAACTTTAACTTACCTGGCCATGATCTTTGCTAAGCCTGAGATACATCACCTGAGGCCGCCGGGGGTGAAACATCCCTACCATTTCGTCCAGTAAGGTAAAAAAAAATGAAACCGTACAATTAACATTTCTGGCTCCATAGTTTTCTGTTTAATTAATGAATACCGTGTTTGGATGGCAGCTCTCTTTTCGCACTGTTGCTGCGCAGCAGAGCGGCAATCAGGAACACCTGCTGGTGTAATCAGGAAATCGTGCAAAGGCTAGACTCGGAGCTTCAAAGACCGCATCCTTCGGAGGACGGGTCCTTCGAAGGCCGTGTCGGCCGCATCCTTCGAAGGACCCGTCCTCCGAAGGATGCGGTCTTTGAATTGGGATGCAGCTCTTATTAGGGTTTTCCTGGAGCGTCGCGAGTTCTAATTCTTTTGTAATGCATATGTGGCTTTTCAGCGCAAGGGCGCCCTCAGGCGTCCAGTATGAATGAAACATATTACGTGTGTTCATAGTACAAAATAATGGCCAATCCAAAAAAAATAATGCTTCTCTTAAAAGAAATTTGAAGTAGACATATGATAATCCATGTTTTTCTACAGTATACAGAAGTGTACTGGAGTTTTAATAAAGTGTACTAGAGTTTTTTTTTAAAGGGGTCATATGATGTTGCTAAAAAGAACATTACTTTGTGTATTTGGTGTAATGAAATGTGTTTATGCGGTTTAAGGTTCAAAAAACACTATTTTCACTATTTGCCCATGTTTTTATAAACTTTTTTTTTTGTTTTTTTACCGCTTAGGCAATAACGTTGACAATAATATCTTCAACATATGTTGTCTATGACCAAAAATGTAAGTTGTTAAGTGGAATTTTAAAATTTGCTTTGCTTGATAAAATAAAAATATACAGTTAGTGTTTTTTTCTTTTGATTTAGTCGAGTTGGTTTTGCATCAAACACAATCTGATTCTCGGCAATCAAGACCTGACAGGAACAGCGCATTTTTCCGCTTGGGTGAGCGTTTCGCGAACAGCTTACCTCGCGCATTAAATCTGCCGCAGACCAGCAAATCACTGACAACGTGCTACAATCCTGACGAGTCATAGCAACAGAGCGGAGGCGAGAAAGCTGCGGAGAATCTGCTCGCCCGGAAGCAACCATAACTGACATAGGTTTACAGACAATTACTGCCGTTTGGCAAAAAATCATTTTACGTACTTATTCCTAACGCTTTAAGTTACATTTCAAATGACAAGGGATCAACTTATAATCATGTTTATACGAATTATCCCATGAACTTATTCTCTCAAATGGCCTGGGTATGCGGAGCATTCACAGCTTATATGGATGGAACGCCACTGTTGTAATGTAGAAGGGCATGCATATCTGTTTCTTTAAAGAAGACTTTTGAATCTAATTAGTGTGTGGTGCAGAAATCTGGGCCTTTATAAGTAGTGGAGTGTAAGAAGTCTATGGTGGTGGCATTAGTGGTTGCTTTCACCTTGATTGAGATATGATGACCGTTTAAAGTCTGTAGGAAAACTTCAAAGTCTTTATCTCCATGTTGTCATACCCCCCATATGTCATCCAAGTACCGGTAGTAACTAAAAGATAATTTGGAACGTTCGGGAAAAACTGTCTCCTCCCATTGCGCCATGTAGATATTGGCATACAAAGGGGCAAATTTATTTCCCATAGCTGTCCCTTTGACCTGTAAATAGAATTCTCCTGCAAATGCAAAGTGAGACTATTTGACTAATTGCACATGAGACTAAGTTCTAAAAGTTGAAGAATTGCCTCATCCGGTCTAAAAGGATCTGGATTCTTGTTAAAGCAGTCTCTCACACCCTGAAAAAGCCAAAGTTGTCTCAATGTTGGTATAGAGGCTGTCTACATCCAGAGAAAGCAAACAAACAAAAAACTTCTGGTGGAATCTAAAGTTTTAATCTTTCTTACAAAGTCATTTGTATCCTTAAGCTAACTCCTATGTTTGGTAGACAATAGGTTTAGATGAAAGTCGATGTACTCCTCAATTCTGTAACTTTCGCTACCACAATCTGAAACAATAGGGCGTCCGGCAGGCATAAAGGAGGTCAGCTACTTGTCACAGGGATTGTGGATTTTATTCGTTATTTCCCAAATCCCCAACAGTACACTGCTGCTGCGTTCTCTTTATGACGCACTGACACAAAGTTAAAGTGATTTTTAACGGTTGCTTTGTCGCATCCGGTGTAGACATGGTGTAGAATGTGGCGACACATACCTGGGGTTACGTCGGAACGGAAACATGATAAGCAAACATCAGAACGTCATGACGGTTCTAGGTGTTTTAGCGAGAGATGTATAAAGTCAAATTTTGAATTTTGCACAACTAATAATAACTCGTTACCTAGTTATTGTTGTATTTATTTTTATTTTTGTTTTTGAATAATCTGTGGCCCTAACAAAGATTTAGTTTTATTGGCAAAGCTTCTATGGTTTCTGCATTTAAACCTGACCGTTTTGAATCTTAAATGATGCACAATCTTTCATTAGCAGTTATTTTCAGCACACAACTAGATTAAACATGTATTCAGTGTTTTATTTTCTTTTTGAAATACATGTTTTATTGTTTGAATGGTTTACTTTTATTGTATGTAATTTTTCCAGCACTTCTGACATTTGTGTTTGAACAGGACTTTTATTTTGGGCTGGTGATGTGACGTCATAAGACTGCGCCGTGCTCCTGCATCTGTTATTTGGCTGAAGAAAGGTTTGTTTTTCTCTTTCAAAGTTTTTAAGTCAATGCTGCCCCTGCAGGCTATCTTAAACAATGTGAAATAGATTAATTATTTAATGTAAGACTGTAATGCTACACCTAACATTAATGCACGTTGTTTGTGAGAGTAGAGCGCATCAGCAGCTGAGTAAAAGAAAAGCTGCTTCTCATTTCTCTCGTATATCACTTCATAGTAAGCAAGAATTCAGTCACCGGAAAATAGTGATGGAGAATCTTGTGAAAGAAACATTGGAGCGTTTTATGTGAATATAGATTACAGTCATTGTACGTTTATTTTTGAATGTCTCTGAGATTTCACCATTTCTGATCATCAAGTTTAAATTTAAAAGTAGCCCTGAATCAATTAACAGTTTTACTTAACTTTACTTATAAGATTAGTTTTTGTTACAGTCATTGTACGTTTATTTTTGAATGTCTCTGAGATTTCACCATTTCTGATCATCAAGTTTAAATTTAAAAGTAGCCCTGAATCAATTAACAGTTTTACTTAACAAAAACTAATCTTATAAGTAAAGTTAAGTTATTAGGAACCTTTCATAACCATCAGCGTAAATGCAGTGACTCAAAACCCTATTTCACGCACGTTCAAACAGCCCTTGGGAAAAAAACAAAATGGGAATCACAAAATGATTTCACTGATTTAAGCTCTCAAATCACCACATTCTGACAACACCTCCAGCCTGTTTCATAAAACTGGTTTACCAAATAAGCCAGGCTTATTTCAGTTAGTCTGACTTATTGTCAAATGATTTGGTTTCATGAAGCAAATTTACCATAGCTCAAGCTAGGGCTGCACGATTAATCGAATGCGATTGTCATGCGCATTTTGATAGTAATGCCGGTTCTGTAATCAGCAGAAAATTATCATCACGGGCTTTCAGATGGC